TAGAAAAGAATGAAGTCATCTCAAACATGCATTATAACTCAAGTTGATCAAGCCAATGTCGTCTGTGTCTTTTAAATTCACTAATGAACCTGCTGTTATGTTAATCCTCTAAAAGCTAGTACGTTTTATGGAATATGTACAATAAAAATAAAAAGGGAGATTAGCAGATAGTTACTACTCATCTAGGGACCTCAGCACTCTTTACAGTTGGTTAGTACGTAAAATACTAAGATCAATCGCATTCGTAAGCTTACGAGTTTCCGTTTGCAGTATATCACTCGATACGTTCAAGTTACTGTAGCAGGGTATAAACTTGCCCTCGGTGTGACACTTTCATATGACCGCATCACTAACGTTCTTATTTCAGTGTTTAATGTGATATAATGCTTACAATGCACTTTATAGGGAATATTTTTTTGTTAAATAACAAAACTTAGTGGATATGTATGTTAATAAATTCGATGAATATAGTCTGTTGCAAACATTCGTTTACAGTAATACGTTGGTTTGTTGCATGTTAGATTTTTTAAGAATACTGACTAAATCTTATGGTATCTGCATGTCCATTTAGAGACAAGTGGATTAAGTTTTGAAGTTCAGCAATTTCAGAGTACCTACTCCTTTGATACTTATCTACGTACATCTAATTTGATCTTGTTTATGGAAATTCTCAGGTTCTAAAACCAGCTATTGTAACAAATTTTAATACACCTATGAATTAGGTTTAATTGTTTCATTAAAAATAATTTTCGAGTCCCAAGATATGCGTTTTTGTGGAATGCTTGTTCAGTTACGTGGGTTTTTCGTAAAAGCGTCTCTCTTGATGTCTCATTTTGCTACCAGTGGTTTATTGAACATATATGTGGCGCAGTGATCAGTAAATTCTATTTAGTCTTAGTTCTTATTTATCCTAAGTAAAGGTTACATATCATTTGTACCCAGTTAGACTCCTTTGGTATCCCAAATATTTCTAGTTTTCATTATTGACGCAAATTGTCACAAAAATGTGCATGTATTTATAAGTGTAATTTCTTGACATCATTACTCCTAATGTAAATATGTAGGAACAGTTGTCATGGGTTGACTTCCTTGCTTCGAGATCACGTGTTGGAATATAACTAATAGGTTTTTTGTAACTGGATGCGACATTAAAAAACCAGTGTTTATTTACCACAATAAATTAGTGCCTCATTCATCAGATCCCATCCTAGTACTTATGTTCCAATGCGACTCAACCGATCAAGTAAACACATCTCGGTTATAATGTTATGGAAGTATTCCGTTATATTAAGTGCTTACTGACTCCTCTCGACGTCATTTGCGGAAGGTGGTTGGTTAGTCCACTGAAAGATAAAGATTTTTTGGGACGTAACCTTGGTTTCTTCACAGTTATAAAACAGTAGCTATCGTAAACCATTCATTTCGTGTGGCTACGTATAAACCGATGGTAGAAGTAGTGTGTATCACTAGTGTGGTACGAGAACTTCCTTCACTTTTATGACACGCTCATCTTTCACTTCATTTTCTCGTAATACTGGTGATGGCGTGAAGCACTGTTCTGGTTTGCTCTTTGAGGTGATTCGTTTTGATTTAACATCAAGTGCAGCTCTTGGGCTTAGAGTTATTTTAGGTATAAGTAATCCAGTAAAGGCTTTCAATGACGTATATGAATTCATTTATCACTTATTACTATTAAGTAATTCGCACTCACTGTTTGCATGTATCATAAACTCAAATTGTCACTGTAGTTGCTCAATCAACATTTTGCTTTCTATTTCTTGGCCTTAGATAATTTTCAGCGGGTAAATGTTTATGTTATGATGTTCAATCGCATGTTGATTGGAAGTTTTTATTATTATTATTATTATTATTACTGTTCTGATTTCGTTGTTTCGTATAAAGTTGTACGATGTTGTTTTGCCAGTGTTACAATGTTTATATTCAAAGTTTTGGGTCCATCATTTTCTTAAGTGGCGCACACCTAGCTTTTTTGCTGCATTTCTCTAGTTTTTATTGGATTTTCGTAGACTTTTCTCGCCTGAATTTTATACGCAACACATAAACTTTAGTAATTTAGTGAAAAACAAACATACCACATTTTACATAAACTTTTAGGGATATATTTGATATGTTTTATATGTATATTCGTTTTTATAGTCGTAGTTACGTGCTCGAAACGGTAGGAAAGAGATATAGCTTTGGGTGTTCATAGTAACGTAAGATTGGTAGAACCATTAGAGAAGGCAAGGGTAGATAATACATCTCAATGCAGTCAGTTCACTGAGTATAAGTAAGGGGGAAACCAGTACTTTCTTAACTTTTAACTGAGTCTCTATGTTAAGACAAAGGATTTACAAATCTACTCCCTCAGGCCTGCTGATAATGAATAACCTCTTCATCAATATAAAACCTGCTATCTACCGCTCAGTATGTGCATGCACTTTCAGTAATTATTTATACTTTTCTAACACTGCAAGTGGTGTGTTATTTTATTCAGGTGATACACTTGTGCACTTTCTTGTTTGCACCATAAAATTGTCTTATTAACTGTAGCTGTTCAGGTTAATTTACTAATTTGTCAATATTCTTATAAATGATAATTTTCTTTTTGTCTAACTGCTTATACAAATAGTTTGCTATCGATATCCCTCATATTTTTTTGTCAGTACTCTGTAACTGCATACACTTTAGAGTATTTTTGTTGAGTGAAATTTGGTTTTAACATACTTTTTACGCATTGTATACCTACGTTTATTTCTAATTTTTCACCATCATATCATACATTTAATGTGTTCATTAATTTTACCATGATAATGTTTAATAGTCAAACCTTGTCTCTTAGATGTATAAACAGTATGGTTGTATATGTTTGTTTAGAATTTCTGATAACTCTTACATTAAGCTTTAGTTTCTCCTAGAGTTCTAGGCAAATAACAGAACATATAGTGAAATGTTCGACTTTGTTTCAATCTTCGCTGTAAGTTTTATAACTGCCGTACTATAAAGAAAATGTAAAATCCTTCAATGATTTCTCATCTGTAGGTTTTCGTGTATTTAATAACATGATCCCTTATTTACTCAAACGTTATTACGTTTCTCAACAGATATTTCATAATTTTCGATTGAGTGCTTTGCAATATTAATAAGGTATGTGTAACTTTGAATGTGAACATTCCAGTTGAGCGGCTTCCTGCACTTGAATTTACTGAATTACTGGTCAATGTTTCGCCTCTATAGACAATTAGGTAATCTACTTGGGATTCTATCAACTTGGTCAGTAGTCCAAAATGGTTTGACAGATACCAACTCGAGATGGAAAAATTGCTAGCGATACCGACGCTTTAGTTGCATTAATTTCTCATGGAAAACTCGTCTTTTAAGCTTACCAAATTCGGAATTACAATATCTGGTCGCGAGATTTCTTATTTCATTAAGACTTGATTTGTCTTATATTCAGAAACTTATCTTGAGGAATATCATTCACAACTAAGTGGCCTGAATGATGTTGATGTTAACATGATTAAATTAAAGTAAAAATAAGTCATTCAATTATTTTTCATCATGATTTGACTTTATTCTTGTAATTTTCGGATAAACGTGTCGTAAAAGTACAAAAAGCTAAGAATATCAAATATGTGAACTTATTATTATAACTCATTTACCACATATTTGTGTACCTGACAATAAGTTACGTTCTATGTATGTAAACCGAAGCAGATGTAGTGTTGGAACCTGTGAGCCACTGGATAAAATTTGAATGCTTTAACCACTTAGTAATTTCCAAATATTTCGCCAATTTTTCAGTAAACATATGCTAAAACTGGTGATACTGTGACCTAGTTATTCCACTAATGAAGAATTCTACTAAACCGACGGTTTTCACTTGTTATTAACACTATTTATTTAATCTATCAGGGTACCAAATGGCCTCTACTAGGACAAAAGATTGTATCTGGTTGTATTTCTGATCTATCACCTGCCAGAGAGTTTTGCAAACATTCCGATACCTAATGTGATATCGCTCGTGTGTTATTTATTAATTTATATGTAGAGAACCCTTGGTCAGATTAGCGTTGTTATTAAATGAACTCTTACTTCATTTACTTAGTTCTGGCTATAAGAAATTCGGAATATAAAGCGTCATATCTGACTTTTTCATGTTCAGTTTGTCTTAACTTCCTGCTGATACCATTCGTACAGTTAAGGGGATTTTCGAATAATTCTAACGTATAATAACTCGTTTTATGACATTGAAATCAGAATAAAATTTTGCTAATAGTATCGACGAAATTGCATGCTGTATTACAACATTAATAAAATTCAAAGTACCGGCGTTGTGACAATGTGAAACAGCTATTCTGAGTCATAGGCCTTATTGTATACTAAATTCATGATTTTCAAGAGTCCGATGGTAACTAAGTTTTATTTTCATTTTTATAATCAAGTTTTCTGCAAATAAATTTTGATTGCAATCTAACGCCAAATATATAACAGCAATTTAGATTTGACACTATTTGAGTTCGGAAACACTAAGTAGATTTAGAAATAATAGTCAAGATTACGTAACTGCCTTAAATTTACGGTACATGGGTTTATAAACGACGTCACTGTAGAATATTTTCTAAAATATAAACTTGTTGAGAATGCAGAGTCCATAGATTGCAATATTATTATATGGATGAATTACACTTTCCCAAATTAATCAAACTAAACATACGATCTTCGGGTTTCTGAATTGGTAGTTGAAGTTTGTTATTCGTGTTAAACTCGAACATATTAATTTTATAAATTAGTTCAATGTTTTATTTAACTCAATGTCATTTCAATTTAACTGTAGTTTTATTCAAATAACGTAACCAAAGTCTAAAATTTATAATAAGGTTAAAACATCCGAAAAAGAACGAATTTATAGCGATAAAGAATGTACATACTATTAGTGTATTTTACGTTTCAAAGAATATATTCAGTACTTAACTTTGAAATACATTTTTCTCTTTCAGATAAATATTCTACACCAAGTTCTCAGGTATGTCCATTTATGTAGTTTTTTTATCCTTCGTACAGAATCTTATTCCTGGCTATTACATACAACCTTTTATTTCAGTATCTACTGCTTTTTATTTATTTTTAACCCGTAAATTTTTCAGTATAATATCTTCACAATTAGCAAATTGAAGTTACTTGATCTGGGTGATGTTTGTTGGTAATTTGTACGTAATAACTAAACCAAATATGAACTTAGAATGATATACACTTATTTTGTGTGCTTTAAGTCAAAATTCCTACTTTCGTAAAGTTCATTGGATTGTTTAGTTTCATAAATTTTTGTTAGGGCATAACCAAGGATCACACCAATGTTCCCAGCGCATCAATTTGATTATGACCGATTTGGTCTCGTGTGCTGTTACGGGTATGAAGGCGGTTGTCACTTCCCGGCTGCCCACACCGTGAAAGGTTGTTTCTTGAGAAACCTGGAAAAGGTAGATTAGTGTCGGTCTTAGAGACCTGGGAGTGCGACTGCTTGAGGCCAGTCACGCACGGCCCTTTTATGAGAGATTTTTTTAGTGTTAGCTCCGCTCTTAAAAGCTCTTAGTGGGCACCCTTACCGCCGAAGACGAAAATCCGTGAGGTAGGGTGAGGTGTGACATTTTTAGCGTCGACCTTTTCTAACCCTTCCTTCCTTGTGAGAAGGCAGCATCGCTGTAGATGCTGGTTGTCCGAGGGAAACACCTTACTGCTGTCTCACCTCTCTGCAGTCAGCAGTACGACTTCGCCCTCAGACCTTGAGTAGCTGCTTTTAGTCTCATCGTTCTCCAATGGACCTGCCTGGCATGGTAGAACCTTCAGGAACATATGTTCCAGCCAATATAGCTCGGTTGGGTCATCACGACAGGCAAGCCCAACCACCAAGTCAAGGTAGCAGCATCGATCATCCTTACTCTCGGATGATTATCCTCACTTTATTTCAAATTACATTGTACTGATAATTCTGTGATTATTTAGCTTGTGTACAAGTGAAATATTTTCCCTAAGTAAGTGGACGTATTCTAGACGCTAAAATTTATTAAGCTGAGATTACCATGCGATCCATGAACCCAATCGTGATTGATCTATTAAATATTTAAGCTATATATTGTATATATTCGCATTAGACAGCTTATAAGAAAATTGTCGTTTCTGCTAAAAGCCAACATTTTTTTGTGCATTAATTTCCACGCATAGCTCTGGTTAGATGAATTTGCATTAAATAGTGAATATACTTTGTCTTATCTTTCCTAACGGTAGAAGATTAGTGAAAACATATTTCTGTAATAGGATGTGTTTGTCTTATCCTTTTGTTAAATCTAAACCACTTGATATTCGATCTGTTAAGTTTACAAAGTTTTTCGAATCAGGCGTTCGTAGGTAATAATAGTCGTTGTAGTAGGTGCGTTTTCTTGTTAACCTGATATTGTATGCGGGCTCGTAAATGTAAGTTTAACAGGATTGTAGGCTTGTAGTAACATGTGAAACGTTATTTAACTTTATTACCCCTTCAAAATTACGTAATTGTACATACTCTCTATTCACATCTTATCAATTATTATCAGTCAATCATTCAGACAGCTACAACGTAGAACTTCGTACGTACGTACATAAGTTCAGTTTACCATACCATGTTAGCTCACAGAGATAAAGTTGCATTTTAAATCCCATAGTAGTAAAGGTTGTAGAAGTATCACCAGTGATGGGTAACATTAGGGTTTGAAGAAATGATTCAAGAAGTATAATTTAGTGAAATAAATATAAAAAGAGAAAAAAACAGTCATCAGAATTTGAGAGAACTCTAAATATGGATGCACCTGCATCGTTGCAAACAATTTTGAGCCATGTCGTTCAAGGACTGTTATAAATCTCTCTTTGTGAACCCAGCTATTCCTATTATTAAGTATTCTCTAACAGCAATACAATCGACAAGTCCCCAAATCAGAACACGGTTGAACAGGAAAAGATTATATTCCAAATAGCAAGGTTAGATGGAAGTAAAAAGCCGAAGCGAAGACCAAATAGGAACAACGTTGGTCTCTTGATAGTTTTTATATGAGAAGCTTCTGGAATGTACTCTAAGTATCGACTAGCGCTGATTGGATAGGAATTAGCTAATCAGTGCGCAGCTAACTCAGTCATGCTTCAATCCATCTATGTCCCCTTTACAGTTTTGGTCAACATATCCATTCACTAACCAAGGGGTGGTTGTGCCACACTATAGCTCAGTCAGCCAGTTACAACGTAGAACTCCGTACGTAAGTACATCAGTTCAGGTTGCCATACCACAATAGTACAGAGACGCAACTGTCAGTTCAAATCCCATAATAGTCGAGATAGTAGAAGTATTTGTGGTAAATGAGAAGATTAGGGTTCGAAGATATTATTCAAAAAGTATAATTCAGTGAGATCAATTTAGAAAGAGAAAGATAGAGGTGATGACGAATTTAGATTAGAATTTCATGGAACACAACGAGTGGATGCACCTGCGCCATTACAAACGATTTAGAACCATGTCGTTCAAGGTCTCTAACCATCGGTTAGCATTGTCTCACGAAACGCAACCAGGTAGTCTACATCCACCAACACGACTCAGTCCACTTGTCAGTTCTATGTTTTGGTTCGATCGCTCGTCGAGGCAGTCGGTGGTTGGGCATTCGTAACAGATACACTAACCGCATCAACTGATGAAGTTTCATTACTTCACCTATCGATAGGCTACCCTACCTAGTACTTGTTTCCTAACGACAACATTGCTTACTCGGTTGTCCCAGGATACATGAGATCTATGATCGAATACCAGTAACCTACAAATATCTTCTACTCTTACTGAACATGTTTTATAGTCGTAAAGTAGGACGAAGCGAATGGCTGCACAGTACACTCGTCTTTTGGTTAGCAGACGGACATCTCGCCTACGCCATAAGCGACAAAGGTTGGCAAAAGCCAATCGAGCCTTCTGTATCCGTACTGATATTTCGTCAGTCACCAGGCCATCACCACTGATGAGACTCCTTAGGTAAGTGAAGCGGTCGACATGCTCAACTACTTCCCTCTCTATCACTAGATCAGGCGCCGATGAAGCCAATCGTGAAGCAACATATTGCGTTTCGAGGGGCGAAACCGCATCCCCAACACACATGCATTGTTGTTTAGGGCAGTCAGAAGACTGCATTTTTAAGCATCTTCACCGAGTACAACTATGTCATCGGCATATTCCAAGTCTACAAATGAATTTCCCGATAAAAATTCAGTTTCTGAAAAATCAGACGAGAAAAGTGTTGTTTTGTAAGCATGTCTATGAAAAATATAAACGGGAATGGAGAGAGTGGACAGTCTTGATGAATACCATTCGGGGTTATCTATTTCCGATGACAGTTCGCCATAATCGAAATAGACTTGGCTTTTTGTATCGTTATGTAGGACTCTGTGAGGTTTCCGCGTTAGACAAAAAATGAAGGCACCTTCGTCATTGCAAATGATTTTGAGCGATTTCGTTCAGGGTCTATAACCATCGGTTAGTATTGTCCATTTGTCCATTACTCCATGGCTTTGTGGCATGTTTTAATCTGGTCGCGCCTATATTTCTTCCAACTTTCTCGTTCACCAAGAAACATGGCTTGTCGCGGTAGTTGTGCATACGTTACACTTGTCTCAACTATCTGGACGGATGAAGATTCAGTACTTCATTAATTAATTGGTCATCCTTACTAGTACCCTTTTTCTAAAAAGATCATTGCTAACTCGGTTATGATTTTCCACGTAACTATATCGAACGGTGACCTAGTAGTCACGCCGTTTGACTTTCAGCTACTAAATATCAAGATTGGACCCCACTCCACTTGTAAATATGGTGTTGGGTACCCAGAATATTGCACTATAGACAATTACACTGTAAAATTTTAGAAGAACGATAAATACACTAATTGCACACCTTGAATTTTCCCCTGCAATCTTTATCGTCCATTCGTTCTTGCTGTTACTGTGATTGATCTCTGCTTTTCTTCCTGCCATAATTTTCCTTTACCCCTAAGTATTCTACTTATTCCTGCTATATACTACTTATATCTGTCTGTTTAAGTAGCGCCCGTAAGTCTCTTTTAGTCTGAGCGACCGAATAACATCATTAACCACTCTTAGTGTAGCTCATATAAAGGTACTTGGTAAATGAGTTAAATCATTCACTTTCCTTATTACATAATTTATTATACTGAATTGTACTTGAGAATTTACGTTCCCATCACTGCGTCAAACTCATTATCTAACCTTTTTCAATCGTCATTTTGTACATTCATGTATAATTGATGCTCTCTGCTTTAATTCATATACATCTGACTGTCTAATTGACAGGTCGTTCGAATGTTACATTTTTGTTGTTGAGATACTGATATGATGTCTTACCGATAATTTACTTTAGTGTAATTCTTTGTTTTTTTATTATCGACAGTCAGAAGTAACGAGATCTAAAGAGGAGGATACAAATTGTCGAGTAAGATTGATCGTTCTAATCATTCATTCACTAATACAAACAGGAATATCTTAGCTTCAATGGTATTCCAATCTTTGAATGTATAGTTGTTTAATGCGAGTATATAATATTTATTTGCTATTGTACTGATAACAACTCTTAAGTACTCGAGACAATAAGATTGAACGTGAAAGGTGCCTCATTCATTATGAACTACTTATCGTTAATCGAAGTAAAAAATATAAACAATTTTGACTAAGCATCACTGATGATTTGCGTATTCCGACTTAATAATGAAACTGTGTTAATATATTGAGGGAGTTTAAATGTACGCTGAATTTGTTAAAGCAATACTTATTCACAACATTATAAGTGTTGAACCACGGACTTGCAAATTCACTTCTCTTGGCTTTCTGTAAAACTAATCGCACTGACATCAACATTCAATCAGTCAGAGTTACAACGTTGAACTTTGTACACAAATACATAAGTTCAGGTTGTCTCACACGGCATCAGCACAGAGACGCAACTATCAGTTCAAATCCCATAGTGGTAGAGATAGTAGAAGTATTAGTTGGAATGAAATGAAACTACTTGATAAGTGAAGCAAGATGAAGAAACTTTTTTTCTGTAGTCAAAGTTCACTGCAAAGACGACGCTACCTTAGATCACTCGCACTCAATAATTTGCACAGTATTTAACTCAGTTAAATACACTGATATTTAACACAGAAGTCCTACTTAAAATCTTACTCAGCTACACACTTAACTCCTTTGAAAATTGAAGTTCGGAGGACAAGTTGGATCTTGTTCTACATAACTTGTTTTTATTTACCAGTCGATTCATAATCTCACATCAATGTTTCTGTAGTATGCGTTTCATCTTTTGAATTAATTACTTTAGGAATAAGTCTTTATAACAGTTTACCCTATTTTAATGACTGACTTCGCTTAAATACTGGACACAGTGTATTCGGTTGGTTAAACATGAGTAACTTTGAATTTCTGGATTTATTCCGCTAACACAATTTACAGTCATATTAGATAGATGACTTCAGTGATAGAATTAGCAGTGGTTTATAGTTGTGTAGGCTACTCTGATGTTTATAGCCTCCTATTTATTAATTGTTTTGGTCTTTCTGTTTCACAAAATTTTTGATAAATTCGATTGTGACAAGTTATTAATACATTGATTAACGTAAAATTAATTTGCATCTTTCCTTTTCCCCTCTTTCTGTGTTTATGATATATTTTGGCTACACACTTTTGCTCCATCTGCTACTTCCCATCCTCCTGTAACCTTTTTTCCCGTATTCTGTGTGTTTTGTTTTTCCCTTTTTTTTACTGTTTATTTTCGTGATATCGTGTTTGTGTGCTTATTTGTGTATTCATCATTCTTGTGCTTGATTGTGTATTTTACTACAAAAAAACACGTTCTCTGTATGTTTAGTCTAAAAGTTTATATATCTACACACATTTATATACAGATGGGTATAGGAAATATTAGTTAGGTATGTTGTATAAATAATATTACTATTATTTTAACCATTATTACATTGACGATTTGCATTATTGTATTCTGATCTTTTTTCTATCATGTCCCACTTCTCGTTAGGAGCAATCACTACATTTATTATTACAACTCTTGCTAGCTTGATGCTCTCTTCAATTTGTTCTTATGCATTTTCATGCACTTCTTTTGTTTTTTTTATCAATGAATATAGTTTGTTTAACAAAAGACTTCTTTCTACTTGTGCGTTGCTATACAGAATCTATTTTGTTGCTTTATTTCTCTCAATTACGGTATTGAATGTTAAGGCTATTTGTGTAAACCATTTTTTTTCTATTTTCTCTGTTTTTCCTATATTTCAAAAAAAAATTTACTCTCTATTAACAACATTCACTCAATATTTACATTATATTATCATTACATTATCGTTTGATTTACACATAAATATGTTAATCTTTTTTTGATTGCATGATCTTATGGGTATTATTATTATTATTACTATTATTATCATTGCGATTCTTTGTTAATTCATAATATATGTTGAAATAATTAGGAATGATTTTGTTTGGAATGCACTTATATATCTGTTGTCTGCGTGTGTTTGTATGTGTATGGATATTTATAGCATTTAGTTTAGTTTTACTTTTTCCGTTCGTAAATGTTCTTATTCTTGTTGTATTTGATTACATAATTGTTTGCGGTTGTTAAAAAAAATCTAATTGTTTCAGTATTGTTATTCTGTCTGTTGTTGTTGTTGTTTTTTCTTTTGTATTGTTACTATTCTCTTGTGTTGCTTATAGTTTGTTTCAATGTTATCGACTGGGAAATGCTGCTCCAAATATTTGTTCAAATTAACCTAATTGTAGTGATATCAAACACTAGTTGGTAATTCTAACTAGAGTCTTTTCATCATATTGTCTGGTGTTTTGCATATCTAATAATAATGATAATAGTTGATTAACTAACTGCTACATTTTAATGAAATACCTTTTACAAGGCCATTATTTCGTCACAAATTTCTTTTTCTAGTGAGTATTGGCTGTCTATTCAAATAAAAATGTTCAACTGGTTATTCATAGTTTGCTGCAGTTTTTCTTTTTCTTTTTATCGCTAAAAACAGACTCCTGAAAGTAAGAAGAATGGGAAACATACAAAGTCCAGTAATAGGTATGTGATTATATTATTTACTCAATGTTTGTTTGCTTATCTTTTAACATTGCTCACTCTTGATCTTTCATTGGCATCTTAACTCCTGAAATTGTCTTTTACCTTGGTAAATCAAATTGTCGATACTTAATGTTTTCTACTACCACTGATAGTGTCACCCTTTCTACTACTTTGGGGTTTCTGTTGATAGTTTTTTCTCTCTGTGATGACATGGTTTGGCGACTCGAGCCAACCAGTCAGTCATCAGCAATGTAGAACTTGGTATATATGTGCGTGCCTAAAATTTCCATATCACATTACTATTGCAAGATGGAATCATCAAGATAAATGCCAAAGTATTACTAGTTTGAACTATACCTTGAATTCACCAACAGATAATCAAAAGTGAAACAAAAATTCAGTACGATCACAGGGGAATGGTAATGTACCACAGAAATATTAAGAGTAAATCTGAACTAGTGGGATTTGTTTTCCCCCTTTTATGTGCATAAGAAATACTTGGAAAGCAGATATGGTGCTTTTCTAAATGTATTCCTATGATTTACTCACCCACTTAGGTAGCGCACAAAAAATTCTTCTAGTATATGCTTCTTGGTCACGCGTTAGTTTATAAACTATCCATGTTATTATTGTAAGTTCCATCTCAAAATGTCAACTATAATTTTACCACTTTTCAGAGAAATTGACCACGATTCACAATCAGGACGTAGTTCTTTATCATTTGCTGTCAGACGTTCTGGTTTGTCAAATAAACTCCCTCATACTGCTCACTTTGAACACAACAATCCGAATGATCAAAACGATATAGAGTGTCTTTCATATGATATTAAATCTGGATCGCCAAATGCAGGTGAGTTAAATAATTGATAACCATACTTCTGTTAGATATTCAAATCTTGTGATTCACTATTCCTAACTGTCGGATTTTCGCTTTTTACAGATTGTAAAGATAACCAGGAGTCCCGTACCAAGATCAGTGCATTACCTAAATCGTCATCGAATTCAAGATGCACTCCTTTAACTCATAACGATGATTCTAGTTGTGATTATAAAAATACCAAATCTCCATACAAAAAATGCATGAAAATTGATACCTGTGTTCGTACTCCTACTAATATTCGTGAATGTGAAAAGTTGAAAAGCAGTGTTGATGTTGCGAATCATACTCCAAGTAATCCAATAAATAAAAGTCCTTCCAATAAATACTCTGTTTCGGGAGAACACAACTCAGACGCTCATTTATCTCACTCTAAAAAGCATACATCTTACTCTGATCAAAATCGGAACCGAGTTGGTTCAAATACACTTGTCGCTTATAATAGTACGGATGATGAAGTGCCTCATGGTAACAAAGAGCATTCAAATCGAAAACAAAAAGTAAGGCGGAAGGTTGGTGATCGTTTGCAGTCTAAAGATCTTAGTTTATCGGAAACTCGTCCTAGCAACCTTAGTACATCGGCAAATCAATTAACTCCTGGTAAGACTAATAGTGTCAAAGTTATCAAAGGTACCGCAAGGTCTACGTGGGATTCAAGCGATAGCGATTTTGACTCTTCAGTTGTACATACTGAAAAAGCTAGTGAAAATGAGCATACTACTTCTCCAGATAATCAAGAAAAATCAAATTCCTTAGAATCTTCGCTCAAAACATCTCACTGTAAGTGTCATCTTTTTTAAACCTTTGATTTGCTTCCATTCATTGGCAGTTTTCTGTTTCAGTCATTTGTGGATACTTATAGGGCAAGAAATACATTCTAAATATTTTCACATGTTTACTCAATTCTATTAAAATAATCATCTAAACTATCAAATACAAACTATAAATACATCGATTAGGTGAGGTAGTCGTGGGTGCGCACTGCTGATGAGTCCCATACCAGGACGAAACGACCGTCCAGTGCTTCCAGGTTTCTAATGGTGGTCTAACAATAGTTGATTGATGATTTCAATGTGCAAAAACACTGATCTCTATAGTTCTAATTGAAAACAGATTACAGTTTCGTTTATAAACTTCTGCATCTAAAACGCTATAAAACGTTAAAAATTCAAATTCAAACCTGGTTTCTTTTAAATTGTGACCATTCATTAATTGCTTTAGCGAAAATGTATTCGAAACCAGTAGCATGATCATATACTATAATACCTATTGCACAGAAACTGATTTCGTGTTTTGAAAACAATTATTGTCTGCAGCTATCATACGTTCGTGTACTATACTAATTATTTCTGTACTCTGACTTTAATACTGCAAAGTAGATTCCCTCTATCTTCTTTTCCTTTCCTCACTAGGCAGGGTAAAAACACCATTTTTGCAGATTAGGCTTTTTAGTGTTCACCCAGTGTAATTTAAAATGGCATATCCCCAACGAGCTGCTATTTTTTGTTTTGACCATGTTGAAGTCACAAGGTATTAGTCTGAAAGCAAGACTGGTATTTGTTTAGTAAAGGCTTACTTTTACTCTACGTCAATTACGTCCATATTTAAATGTCAACCAAAGACCACGATTCTTCCTGTTTACTTTTAATTTAAATTCTCGAATGTTTAACATCACTCCAAACACTTCTGGCATTTCTGTATCACTTTCACCATGAAAGCATATCCGATATTTTGCGTACGGTGTTATTAAGTTAGATATTAGCTCGAATTATTGTGGTTTCACGGTTTTGTTATATCTGTTCTCCTTTTCATGTTTTTCTGTCCTCCCAAAAAAGCTCTTATTCTTTACAATTATTTTAACGAGAATACTGAAAACAACATGTCCTTCTCATCCAATTATTCAATGTTGTCTAAAATCTGCACGAATTGTAATAACTCTACAATTTAGTTTAGTTATGGTGTGTTCTAACTCAATCTAATGTTTGAGCATACCGTGTTGCATGGTAAACTTCATTTAATTCATAACAGATATCTAAAATTAGGTTCGGATTCGAATTAAATTTGAATCAGTAATATTTAGTATACTAATTTTCCACATTGTTTACAACTTGGCTACTCAGTTTTGACTATGTTCCTGATTTGTAATGATATTAAAATTGAATGCCTTTTGTTTCTCTGTTCATATTCAGCCTCGATAAACAAGTCCAGTCTGTCAAAAGCAGCAAAAAGTAATTTAAACACGAAAAATAAGAATCATCGACACCAAGATGGTTCTAGTAAATGTGATCCAGTTAACTCAAATGAATCCCGTTCAAAACTATCTAGTAGAGATTCACATCACAGAAGACGTAGAAAAAACTCAGATCGTCAGCATTCCACAAGTCGTCGTCAAAGGAAGTCCATTTCATCAGGAGGTTCTGATGGTTCTCAGTGTCGCAAAAATCGAGGAACCTCACGTACAAAGAGCACTATTGAAGTTGCAACACCTAAAAGTCGTAAACGTTTACGTTCCCACAGATCATCCTCTTATCGTTCCTCTGTTAGTAGGTCGCGTTATTCCTCTTGTTCAGAATCTTCTCACAAATACGATCGACATAAGCGTAGTTATATGAAGTCAAAATCTTACAGTTCTGGGTCATCTGCTCGTACTTCTCGTTCATTCCGCTCAAGTTACAGTTCAAGATCAAGCTCTATAAGAACTCCTCGTCGCCACAGACGTGTTAGATCTTTTTATCGAAGAAGGCATAGGCGTAGAAGCTATTCTCATCGTTCACGATCGCTCTCAAGAAGTTGGCACTCAACAGATTCCAGTTTTTCTTCACGGTCTTCTCTTTCGTCACGTTCCCGTTATTTTTCACGCCGAAACACCTCTAAAAATCGTTCTGTTTCTCGACGTTCTCGTTCTCCTTTATACCGGCCTACTTCATCTATTACAAAAGTTCCAGAAGATAATATTCGAACTCCACCAGAACACCGTCTTGCTCGTCTTGGTGTTGGACCATTGAGTAAAGATAGTGTTTCAGATGGTAGGACAAATAGTCCTTATAGTGACCCGAAGTCCATGTCTTACATACCAAGCGTCAATGAAACAGTTTCAGCAGCTGTCAATAGAGTTATGAGCGGCGGTCAATCTAGTAAGTAATGCAGAGTATTATTTTATTCCTATAACGTTTTATTAACAGTGATATTTATTATTATTATCAGCAGTAGTATTAATTATCACTATTAATGGCTTTATTCAATTTCATGTTTTGTATTATATGGAATTCTCAGCATACAATATTTCAACATATTTCTCTTACTCAGTTCAATAGTATTATCTGGCTAAATGTCATTCGTGATTTTATCTCGTTTCAGTATGTCGAAAGTCATCGCATGAATCGACCGCAACAAACAACAACAATGACAGTGACAGTTTGAAACCTATTCATGATTCTAAATCATCCATAGGACGTAATAGTGATTTACATTCGCAACCACCCGCTTCATCTGTTGTGGTACAGTCAAATAATAGGACATCTAGTCCTTCAGTGCTCGTGGATATACCATTACCTCAAGATGCACTGAATCAAACCACTGATGATCCAGACAACAAGAGCCAAACGAATAAATCTGTTCCTTATATTGGACCACAAGTAAGTTCGCATCTGTTTTTATTCCGAGTTCTTCTTTAACATAGATATATTAAGCAAGAAGAATACTTGTTTATTAGCTCGAAGAAATTTTTATTTTTCTCATTTAAATCAGTGTTGTGAACAAAATTTTTCATTATATAATACCACAATGTATTATCCTTTCATAACACACATAGTTCATGCTATCAACTTATATTTGGCAAAGCCGTTTATTCACATTCACCTGAAACCTCAGTAGTTTTCATAATGATCCGAGATTTACGTAGCGATCACTTTTATAAGATAACAGAAATTTCCAAGCGTTACCTGATTTATCATCCAGTTTCATCCGATTTGTTTCCACCAAGTCTAATCGATGGGTTTGAGTGGTCAGTGGAAACACTACTTAGAGTCACTTTAAAAACATGTAAATAATACTTCATCACTTCAAACGGTGATAAACTCTTGGATCATTTGTTGATAATTTAGTTTGGAAATCAAGCAAAATAAACCTGATGGTCTAATAAACAAATCCAATGCTCATACTTTGTGCACTTAATCTCGTTCCACCCGTGAATTTATTTTAGCTGCTGTAGAAGTGATGTAATTTGCAGCTGATATGCAGCTGATATATATATATATATATATATATATATATATATATATATATATATATATATATATATATATTCCACCAGTTGTGGTGAATTCTTTTACAAATCGTACAAATATAGTGATAAAATGGGTTAATTTAAAAATTGTTCATCGTATCTTAAGTCACATTAGAACTAGTTGTTTCGTTTCAGTAAAGCTTATTCAAGTTTTTATTTACATCTTCCTTCTCTAAGAAACGAATTACAGTCTTTAAAGGTAATGTATTAGATGCACTACTATTTTAATACTTATCAAGACTTTTTGATTGATTATTCTTCCAGTACGCTTCAGAATGTTATTGTCTGTATTTTGTTTCAGAATTGTCATCCATCATGTTTATCACATACTAAACCCAGTGTTCGTTACACAATTAGTTATATTTTAAACTACCTATTATTTTTCTTAAATCGTACTTACAGTTTTACAAATGTGTTTTGTTTTTCATTTTAATCATGCACATAGATTCATACACAAAATAAATTTAACATTTTTATCGTTATAATTTGTCAGAACATGTATATCTCTGCTTTTTTAGAAATTTTATTATATTGATTTATTTAACTTGCCTTCTGCTTATGCATGTTTGCTCCTTGATTATTTCTTTTGCTTATTAAATGGAAATTTTTTTACTAATAATACTATTGTGTTTTATAATAGTGCATTTGTTTGCGTTTTCTCTAAAATATCTTTTGACAGACCCATTATATCTAAACAATCGACCGATTTTCTAGTTCATATAAATTAATTTTCACACAAGTGCATGTTTCACTCTTTTATGATGATGCTGTTAAATTTTCAAATATAAGTGGCATATTTTCCCTTTCCCTTATACAAACTTTGAATGCATATCTCTTTTAGGTAAAATCAAATCAGTATACCAATAATTTCAGTGTATGAAGAAAAGTTTTCCATGCTGACTTACATATATTTGCTATTTTACCTTTATGAGTTTCATCTTATCCACTTTGGTCAGCCGTATAAAAATAACCTCTTTGTAAAATTATGCTTAAGATAACTGATAGCGTTAACGTTCATCCGTGTAAAATAATTGCAACTCTATTAACATTAGTTGTGTTATTGATTGTCGATTAGATTTTATTGAATATTGATTATCTCATTGGTTCTAAGTGTTTGCTAATGACATTTTTGAAGCAACAATGTTCAGCTGATCATTATCAATAATATTTATTTGTAAACCAGTTTTTCTGTATTGTAAAGTCAGTAGTGTCATTGATTTGCTAGAAAACAATGAAATCAGATTGCAGCTGCTTGTCTTCTCGATTGCCATAACATGCATAAATTCAACGTATTTTCCTTTTTTCGTCATATCCACTAATTATCCTTAGCCAAGTATTTGATGTGAATAACTTGCCGAAATCTTAAAAACCAATACACCACCATAATATGATTTATCAGACCTTAATTGATTAAGGCATTCGATTTGAAGTCACAGATTCGAACATCAACTCATCTAATTGGGTCCGGAGAGCTAGTCAGTTTATCTAACTCTTACATAAATATTGAGGCTCATAACCATGAACAATAATTTGTTCTTGGTGATTAAATTCTATTTTTCAGATTATATCTAGTTATTACACATTTGATCATTGTTAGACCACCATTAGAAACCTGGAAGCACTGGACGGCCGTTTCGTCCTAGTATGGGACTCCTCAGCAGTGCGCAGTTAACTATATCATTATTTCTGTTTGGTCATTTAGAAGTTGACAGACTCAGAACTTAGAATTAGCCAGAGTATTTAAACAATCTGCTAATAAAGTTCTTGCTTAAAGTTTCTTGCTTAACACCTTTTTTTATATATATGACGCTAACGTGCTTACCAAACATGTAAGTGTATTCACTTATTGGATTCCCAGCGAAATGACTAATATGTATCTTACAGACATTTAACTTCATTTCAGTCTTTTTTATTTTTATCATTCATCTACTTATTGTCTGTATTTGCAAAACATACCCAACTTCTTTTACAACAAAAGTTTACATCTGTGAGATAATATTCTGTAAGAAATGTACCGGGTTTCTTTTCTATCTCGTAATGTAAACGCTGAAAATTCGTCCTGACAATGAATATTCGAATATGGGATTATTATTTTCAAGTTTATAACGACGATATAAAAAAAGTCAGTTTTACAAGCATAACCAGACTCAGTATTTCTGATTATTATCAATCTCACTTCACATATTCTCACTAAAATCAGCTTTCAGGTTAGTTCGTTTCTATCATTTATCGAAACAGACATCCACCACTTTGGTCATGTAGTTCCTGTTTTCCGATTATTTACCAAGTAAAATAATTCATTTAATGGTATTTTTCCTAGACACGTTTGGTTGTTGTCATTTTCCTTGCGCATGATTCATCCTTTACTTACTCAGTTCTGTTAAAATTTACGGCTTATCGTAATCACACTGATTATTATCCTCATGATATCCACTGACAGTTTTTATTTATATTATTTTGTGTTTTCGTCTTACTTTTGCAAATGCTTTATAAAACTATCTCGTTTTTTATTTGTATTTTTTATGTATAAGGTTCCTCCGGAACTAGCCAAACGTTTTGGATTATCTGTTGCTGATACGCCAACAAAGTCAGATGTTGGTGATCCTCTAACCTCAGTTCCAAGTGGTAATTATGTAGAGATTACTTCAAGCTCTGTCCCGTTACACACTACTCCTAACTCATCCTCTGATACCAATGCAGTTGCGTCAGGTGTCAAAAGCAGCAATGCTGCGGAAGTCACCAGTTTCAACCCGCCAGAATTTACAATTCCACCTGAACAAGCTGAATTATATAGACGTAAGTAAAGATTTTAATTAAAACTGTCTCCATCGCTCGTAAAATTTTGTTAATGCTGGTTTTAGACTACTTTATTCCTTTATTAAACAGAATTCTATTAAATCCCTGATATGTTAAATCAATTTGCAGGTTTTCTCTTGTTCGTTCATCAGAAATCACATTACCGTTATTCCTATAGATATTGTCATCCTTTACTTTTGCAGTTGACTAGATTATTTTTAAACATTTAGCTTCAAAATAAAGTTGCAGAGCTATATTCTCTAACAGTTGTATGTGTAAATCCTTATGATGATGAGAAAACTGAAATCATAGTTGCAGCCTAATTGTTGGGTATCACCTCCTTATGTTAATCAGACTTTGACTGGAAGGTAAAAGCAACACAACTAGGAAAGTTTTACTTTCATTTTGATGGAGATTATTTGAGGTTTGATATCTATATTTTCCGATGTTCATAATTCTGAGTAACGTTTATGATGGATATATTGTACTGCTTTCTAACCTTTTTCTCACAGAAACATTACCTATAAAACAACGACAACCTAATGTAAATCATATGATCGTTTGACGCTTATCAATTTGCAATTATAATGATGATTGTGATAAAAATAATGCCAACAATTGCCAGTCTAACTTAATGAAAACTATTTAACAGATAAAACATTGTGAACGCGACCTCATCATAGGGTTATCAAGATTGTTAAGTTTTTTGAAATCATGAATCAATCATCGTTAGAGCACCATTAGGTTTCAATGAAACTCAGCAATCTCCACAACCGTATAATTAAAATGATCATATGCTCATTATTGATTAGCTTCATGACGAGATTCTCGGAGTTCTGGTGAATGAATGCACTTACGTTCAATAGACAAATCAATAGAGAGCAACCAAAAATGAAGATAGCATGTGATCAAGAAGCTAGAAGTTGTTAGCTTAAGGTTTCAAATGCGTTACAAGGTAAGTTTACAAAATCCTACCGAGCTTTTTGAATCTGTGGCATGATTTCGTCTAACACCCATTACATGGATATCTGTTGATTAAGCATATAAAAAACCCTAAAATATACTTCAGCCAGAGACTAATGAAAGGCCATAACAAGATTAAACTGTTAGCTCTCTTTGATAACTATATTAGGTTTTTTTTCACTTACTACCATTTTAGCGTTACAAGAGCAAGCAAAAGAACATGCTTTGCGACGAAGTAGAATTCTCATGCCTGATGAGTCGAAATTAAATCAAATTCCTAGTGAATTTAATTTTTTGCAACATCAACAACAAGTACAGCGACAGTTAGCGCTTCTTCAACAACAACAAAGTCAAACCTCTATGGTATTTACTCCTTCCAATGTTGTATACTGTACTCCCTCAATATTACCCTTGTATGCTGCCAATACTCCACTAATCTCAACCATACCAAGCGTTAGTATGGCAAATCCTGGTAATATTACTGTCACTGAAACCACAGTTCCTCAACAAGTGTCAGCTGAAGCAATAATCTTAAAACAACAACAATTACAACAACAACAACAATTATCTGCCCTATGTGGAGCTGCATATCAACAACAGGTCTGTTTATTTGGTGTATTAGCTTTAAGTTCTTATATTATTTCTTGTTAGAGTGATTATTCTGCAAACGTTTATTCCATGATACCTTTCGTCAATAATGATGACATCCAGTACTTATTAGTGTAATACATAATCACCTCAAAATCTCGTTTATTGACAAAAGAACAATGACCGGTGGTCATATGGAATTTTTTTATATTTTATTTATGTATTAGAGAAATTTTTGAAATCTTAATTCAATTAATGTTATAATAATCACTAGAATAGCGATTGAATCTACTTGTACAACGTTTCAGAGGGCTATTTAAGACATATGGAATCCTAGTAACTTGGAAATATTCAAGTTTATAAATATATTGGTGGTGGTTCTACAATAAATCATAATTCGTTAAATTGAAGCTTACATTCACGGTGATAAAGAAAACAACAACGGTCAAACAAAATAAAATGACGGGTTCAAATTGGTATCCGTGCAATGTATGTTTCAACTAATAAGTGCATAGTCAATTTGCAGTGGTCAGTTTAACTAGTGTTATTTATGCAAGACAGAGACGATGGACCCTGGTTACCAATCAGTAATATAGTCAGTCATAAAAAAACAAGAATTTCATAACTGTGTCGTTTGATGTTTTTTATTAATTCATATTCATAATAGAAATAAAATTTCACCAAGATTTATTTCACTGTATATATTCATTATTTACATTATAGTTGTTGAAATTCTTGCTCTATAATATAAATTTCAGTTCCTTTTTTTGTCATTACTATTTTCTAATTTCTGGTAATAATGGTTGATATTTTTCTATTGTTTTTTTTTTCATTTTACTTTCATTAACTAGACAAGTGGAAATGATGCTTCACAGTTATATTTTGCATCTCTCAGTAATCCACATATTACATCTAATCTAACAGTAGAACAACAGCCTAATACATCCTCTAGTAGTAATGTTAAATCGGAAGTCAATCAGTTATCCACATCGCTGCAACAAGCACAATTACAACAACTAATTGCGGCAGCTGCGTTACAATCAGTTGTTCAAGCTAACAATAATAATATTCTTTCCTCAGCCAATACAATCCAGTCAATCAATCATCAACAGTTGCTAAACCAATTGATTGCTCAACAACAATCCCAGGTGAGTTGAAATGTGTGTGCTAGGTGTTCAAAAAAGCTATATTACGGAATCCTAGTTTTAACTTCACTTATTTGTATATTTAATATACAGTCAGTTAGCTAGAATATAGATATCTCTATCACTAATGCAGATGCCGTTGTATGCTAGTCCTGAATCAACATTTCGCCTTTCAAGCGGACGGACAACCGCATCCCAAACATGCTTGCATTATTGCTCAAGGTAGTCAGAGGACTGCATTTTGTCAGCATCTCCATCAAATAGAATTATGTTTTCGGTATATTCTAAGCTAACTAGCGAGTCTTCTGGATAAGGTCAACTCCTGAAGAGTTAGACGATGAAAGCATCATCTTTAAAAGCATGTCTATGACAAATTTAAACAAGAATGGAGAAAGTAGACAGCTTTGATGAACATTGCTTGAGGCAATCACTTCCAAACACAGTACGTCATAAGCTTTCACTCGACCAGTAGTGTTCGAGTAGAGAGCCTGTACAAAGTTAATTTGCTTCGTTGGTATTCCTTTTAATGACAGACACTGCTATAGGACCTGACGATCTAAAAAGTCGAATGACGCCTCAACGTCAAGGAATACAATTTTAATAGGACGCCGAAATGTGCCTATGTCCCAGGGCTTGACAAAGTGTGAATATGTGTAGTCTATACGTTCGCGTCCCTATCTACTGGAATCCTGTCTAAGAGAGCTGGTTCTGCACTAGATCATGACGCTATATCTACACCAGCGAGGCCACAAGAAACAAAAGCGGGGCTTCCAGACACACGAAGTGCAAATCGAGATGGTTCTTGATTTTTACAAGTGACGTCAAATGAATGACACTACTCGGATCCTGTATGCGCATTTCAGAGATGCAGCATACATCGATGTCATGAGATTTCAAAGTCCCAGCTCAGAAAGCTTGTTGTCCTGTTCGGTACAATGTCCAAACATCAAAAGCTCAAACATGCTGTTTGTTGCGTGGTTTTAGGAGACCAGGAATAACATTTCGCGTACTCAAAAGATTTGCATCAGCCCCGCGTAGTGGCAAATGAATGAAAGAATTGGTTGCTGATATAAGAGAATTAATAAGAGGTGTAGGAAGGATTTGTCTGTGACTAATTCGGTCTCGTGTGTCATTTCCTACGGTCGGGCTACAGTGAATTCTAAGTATAGTACATGGTGTAGTTTTTTAACCCAGCTTTTCTGTCAACCACTTTACACTTCAATTCATTTTCTGTATAAAATCACTAACAGTATTATATACATTATTACGTTGGTATTTGCCAAATCAATTGCACATAGCAGATGACATTTCCACATATCTATTATCTAGCTGATATAATTTGTCTTCTCTAACCTTTTAATGTTTCTCTGGTGCACATATGATGAATAGTCCTAGTTGTTTGACTAACATGGAGTTATAATTGCAATGAGTTAGTGTAATATAGGCTTTTAAGGTGATGGACAGTAATGAATAAGATATATTGTTCTCGTAATACAGACCAATAATCTGACAGACTGTATCCCTGCTCCTTCTTCTAGAGAAAAAGCGCAATCTGATCTTTCAAAATAAGGGTTAGAAATATGCATTGTGAAAATCGTTTAGAAATAATAAGTTATATTCAATCCTAGTAATGGAACTTATAAGCCTTGTGATTTATTCATCTGTTCTCGGAATCATTTTTGAGATTTAAATCAGTGGTGTCACATCTTGCTTATATTTTGTGTCGCCGGATTATCGTGGAATCCAGACATTTTTCATTGCTTCAGTCTCTTAGTAATATCAATTAATTCACTTTCAATGAAATAAGATGTAATCACGATATATAGTTAAAATAACTTACACTTTTTGTATAGGCTTCATTGTTCCTATTTATGGCTTATCACATTTTAGCTATCTGGATTCAATATTGCGCCAAACCTTGTAACAGCTTCTCTGTTAGCTGCACAACACCAACAAAAACAGCTGGTGGCTCAATGGCAGAAACGTGCTCTTGCTTTGGCCGCAGCAAGTTCTGCTAATGATCAGTTAAAGAGCGCTCAAGAAAGGCGACTCCCTGTTCTTACTCCAGGTACTACTATTCCGGCTAATTTGGCTGTTGCTACTCCTACTAGTTTAGCTTCTGTCCTCAACACTACCAATTCATTACCAGCTGCTTTACAGTTAGGTCTCCTGAGATCTGGTCTCAATCCTTCGATCCTCTCCACTGGTGCAGTAAATCCATCGACCCAAAATCAAGTAGCTTCTATGGCCGCAATGCTTGCTGCAGCACAACAGCATCAGCAACAACAACAACAATGTCAACAAGCCACAGCTCTTTCTACTGCTCAGCAATCTCTTAGCACAGGTTCATCACAATTTCCTGTCTCTTCCGCAAATTCAGAGGTACTTATGTTTTGTTTTTAAATTTGCGGTGGGCGTGAAATCAACAAAATACAGTTGTACACTATTTTTATGTTCCCTCTGTTTACCATAAAACTAATTTTTACACTCCAAATCTTGTCAGGATTGAATATCAGCAGTTAACATAGGCATGCTTTTTCGATCACACAAATATTTGTATATGAATAAGCGTGCTTGATTTTTTAATATCGCAAAATACGTATTCAATGATAATTCTCCCCCATCATTCTAGAAAGTTTCTGTAAATTAAGCGAAGTATTTAATACAAGTCTTATAACTAGACGCGTGATCAGTATTGTTGTAATCGTATGCCTTTTAAACACAAACTAGTCAGCTTGCTCATAAACAATTGTCATTACAAATATATTGGCCTTTTTTAACTACCACATCTTAATATTTTGATCTTATTTGGAGTAGGAGTTAGGTAAAAAAATTAGTCAGTCAAATGCATGGCATCACACTCCATAGAGGCATTATCCCTGTGGTGCGTTATTGGTCACGATTATTAAAAACTGGGTTACATCAAGGCTCGCTAACTGGCGTACTAATGTAACGTACATATCAAGTACTATGTTGTTGTTGACTGACTGATGGGTGCTGTGTTTCGTGATTATCAACTTCCACATGGGACACTTGACTGTTTAGTGTCGTCACATCGTTTTAGGTTCACCAAATTTAATATATTGATAAGGCTTCAATCATTATCCAAATTCTTACGTGGCTTTAGTTTTTAAGCTCAGCGTAAAGCTAATCTAGTTCACCAAAATCATGTTGTGAATTATCATTTGTTAACTTTATGCATATAAGTTATAAAACGGTATTTTCAAATGATTGAGCTTTAAACTAGAATCATAAGCTCATTCCCAAACTATTATTTATCAACTTGATAGTTTTAAAGACATTAATCTATATAGAAGTGTAGCTTTTGTTACTAACTGATTACAGGTTGTAAGCAGATGACGAAGGGTCAAGTGGGAACAAAGTGGATTCATGTTCAAATCTTTGTTCTTGCCCTCTAAAATAATACAGGAAACTGTGTATAAAGTAAAAAAACACTTATCTAGTGTCCTTGGCTTTTTAATTTCTCGTAGCAGTTATTGTAAACATTGATCTGTCTATAACTTTCTATTTTGGTGTGATTGATTACTTTGTAGTTTTCCAATGCTGTTGTACAATCAGCTTCATTTCCACAACAATTACAACAGCGGTTATTATCTTTGCAAGCATCAATTTTACATCAAAAGCAACAACAACAACAGCAACAACAATTAGCTTCAATGAATAATGCAGCTGCTGCAATGGCTGCTACATCAGGTAATGCAGCCTTATTACAAGCTGTAATTGCCTCCTCTCAACAACAACAGCAGCTACAACAACAACGTCAACAACAAATTGTTCAAAGCCAGTTTCAACAGCAACAACAAGCTGTTCTTGCTGCTATTTTAGCTGCACAAAAACAGCAAGTAACACAAGATCGTTTAAACAAACAAATGTGATCATTTATGAATGAACTTTTCTTTTTATTTATTTATTGTCTTGTAAAGAAAGACATACTTGTATACTTTCGCAAAATGTATATACTAATAATTAATTTGTCAGTATATAATGATGTGTTGGTTTCCGTTGAATGATTTCTATGTGCAGTTTTAATTTGCCTAACTGCAGTATATTATATTAATTAGTTTCTGGCATAATTCAAAGGTGTTTGACAGGAAGACGTTTCTTATTCGTATTACATAAATCAGGGACATCCTTTACTAAACGGATTGGAAATATTGTCGCTTTATGCGTGGGAGGCACAACTACTTTGGTTTATCTTAGAAATGTGCTACCGAAGCTACATTTTACATCAATACCTTAGTTATGGTACGGATAATCACTACTTACTTATGAGATGTACTTTTCAGTGTCATCTGTGTTCATGAGGAAATTGTGAGCATTAGCTGATTACCTCATTTTCTCAGCTAAATATTAAAGAACTGTCAAGGTCAGAAAAAGTGGACTAACTTTACTAAGTTGAATTTTGTTTTAACATTCTTGTTAACGAGTATACATCATAATAATATAATTTAATGTGGATAGGAAAAAGTAATAGCAGTTGAAGTGGTAGTGAAAATTATCGTTCGAAGATGAGTACCAATCAATCATCTTATTGAAAAGTCTTTTTCACCTTTGAAATTCTCTATAAAATCAGCTTGTACTTCCGTGTACTTCTGCACTGCCCAAAAGTAGTGCCGGATACTAAGGAATATAAGGCAGTAATTTTTTTAAAAGTCACACTTTCACTACCTGTTCAATAGATATTTATCTTGTTGCAATGCCGTATAATTAGTGTTGCGAAGTGCTTACTAAAACCGTTGACCGGTAAAACTAAAGTATGGGAAATTACCAGTTCAGTAGTAACCCGATTTCTAGGTCATAGTGCCTAAGTAAGTGAAAAATACTGGGCATCGAATGCTTGTCAGTCTTATAAACGACATATCATTAACGAATTCCCATGATATAAGGATCGGTTCATAAATCTGTTTTTTTTCCTCGAAATGAGTGCAATAAACATGTTCAAAGTTTTAATAATATGATAAGAACTAATTTTTTTCTATTCTCTAAATTAACTGCGATGAATTTTGATACTAACTACACCCTGAATTATAAAAGCTCTTTGAAGAACGATTGAATATCCTATGAAATAAATCTTCCCTTTGTGCGACGGCGATAAAATAACTCAATTACAGATTTAGTTGAATGAGTTGACGCAGAGAGATATAAGAATAAAAAGCAAAGCGAAGTGGAGAAGGCTAGTAGTGAGCCAACTCAATGTGATAAGGCATGACTAGTATTACAGTCAGACAAAAATAAGCTAGACATGTGATAAGCGAAGTAAGCGACATACAAACTTAAGCCAAGATTTCAACCAAATAGTTGACAAGGCTAAAAGACGTGAATCACTCGAGAAGGATAGATTGATTAATTTTGTCCAAGTGCTTGGACGAGGTATGGGGACTGAACATACTAATACACACTCTATGAACTATTCATTTTAGTCACCTGCTGGGTTAAAAGGGCACTAAAAACTCAAAGTCATCAGAATATATACTCAAGTTTTACCATAAAATTTGTAGTACTGAATTGATGGACTGTGTGACTGCAATTATACTAGGGAATGTCATTATCAACTAAACAGTTTAAATATTACATAAATCAGACAAGTAGATTCTTTTCAGTAATGATTACCCCACAAATTCCTAATTGTGGCGCAATAGCTTAACTGACTTTTCTGTCAATTCTCTGAAATATTACAGTTGGTCCTGCACAAAAGAATATGAAGTGGAAGCTTGGTGTTGGATTTTCTCATGATAAAAATGTATTTAAAAATTAGTTGGTCAGATTCTGAAGAATTCAGTCGACAGTCAATGACCCCCAACTATACCTGTCCATCTGATTGGTATTTATAAGCTACAGTTGTGATAAGAAGATTAGAATAGATAATCGGAGAAAACCAACGGTTATATTGAAACTGTGAGACTGTCTACGTGATCTCTTATGCTACTTAATGTAGAGCCCCATCTGCAAATCATTATACAAATTTCTTTAAAATTCCCAATTGTGTAGTATGGAAATCGATATCTCTTTGGAATTTATCAAACCGCTTAAAACCGAACCATTTGCATATTTAATGATTATCTTAGTCACCTTTTTTCTGAATTAGCAATTACATTTTATTATAGAACGAACAGGATAAAATACGCATATATGAATATTCATCGAATTCGACAGATTATAGTATCTGTTAACCCAACATTTAGCATTTTCTGTGTGAATCTACATTAGTCTGCAGATGTGCTTAGTTGCGGGTTACGAAGTTCTGGAAGTCAGTGTTTACCGTATTTTCGAAACCCGTATCGAATACTTAAGTGAAGTACTACAAGTTTTCTCTATCTGTGGAGTCGGAAAGCCTGTCTTGCGTTTAATCAATGACTGCAGGATCTCTCAGTTCGGCTGGCTTTGTTGTTTCACTAAGTTTTGCTCTATGCTTATAATATCTGACTTTTTCGAGTTGCTGACATTCAGTGGGAACATTATGTTATTAATGCAGGAGTTTGGCTACGCATTTTCGAGCGCAGTGCCAATAGTTCAATTGGTGTCACTGAATTCTGTTGCTCGGATATGTACTAGCACATGCCATACTTCGTATCATAACACAGTGGAACAGTACCATCCACAGTGAAGACTTGGCGCAGGTACCAGATTCACACTACCAGTACTTACTCTTCTGAAGACTGTTTTAAAAATGGCATAAGTTAAAAGGTTGAGGAGGAATACAGCAATAATCAGATATCTGCATGCGGTGCTGTATTTCAGGAACTGACGAGATATGGGTATATGGTCTATATATCCACGTCCAGGTCGAAAACTAGCCTGGTTTTCTCTAGTCTGCTCTTAACGAGCTTTCGTTAAGCGTCAAAGTATTATTGAGGCCAATATTTTAGATACTATATTAGTTAGACTTATTCCTCTGTGATTGTCATAAGAAGACTTGTGTCCTTTCTTATAGATTGGGACAATCAGTGATTGAGACCAGTCAGATGGAATTACGCCCAGTTCCCAGATTCTACCTAATATCTCAGTCAGCCTTACTACTATAAGTGGACCACCACCCTTAAAAATTTCAAGGATGAACCTATCAGGGCATGTTGCTTTCCCTCGCTTCAGATTCCCTATAGCTTTTTCAATATCATAAGGACTCGGAGGGTATCCAGGCGTTTAGGTCTCATTAACGGTAATTCAGAATCATGATCTTGAAACTTTAGCTTCGGTGATATAGACAGGTATCACGAATGTCGTCCTAGTTGTAGGAAGAAGCAAACAAGTGCTCGATTTGACATTGAAAAGAGTTATGAAATAAACCGTCAGCTGGTCCATTACAACTCTGTTTAGACTTCAAGAGGTGGTGTAACCTGGTGGATTAAGATATTATCAAACAGGAGCGAACGGTGTTCTTTCTTTAGCCTTTTTTTTTAATTTTTGATAAATGTCAGAGGAACTCTAACCGAAAATGTTCTTTTTGTTTCATTCTTTGAGCTGGTTTGTCCCTCCATTTATAATTTATTATTGTTCACTTACTTATATTTATTTATTAAGATTCTACTCTCTTGTTTCGATCACCTCATTTTCCTTTTTCTGATGGCGCATACTTAATTTTGTTCCTTTTTATACCAGTTGTTTGTTTGAAATAAAGGTAAAATAAAATTAAAGTTCTGATTTTTAAGCGTAATTTTCATTATGATTTTAAGTTAACAATAATATAGTTCAAGTCGATAAGAAATATATGATAGCTGTTCAAATCAGGTTCTATATGTGCATTTCGTTCTGTTTTAGAATTTATCTTCATAGTGGAAGATAAAAAAGAATACATCCTATTAACTGAAAATTACTCCTACACCGCAAAACAGCTCCTCGAGGCAGTTGGAGGTTGAGCATTCGTAACACATGTCCTAACCACCTAAAATGATGAAGTTCCACTACATTATCTATTGATCTGCCATCCTTACCTTGTACTCGATTCTTAACTATAGCATTGCTTACCCGGTTGTCCCATGATACGGGAGCAATGCTCCGAATATATCTAAAATCTAATATTAATGACTTACGAACTTCCTCTGATCTCATTGGCCATGTTTCGCATCCGTATAATAGGACGGAGCGAACTGCTACTCAGCACTCTCGTCCTTTGGTTAGCAAACGGATATCTCACATATGCCGTAAGTGACTCGTGTTGGCCATAGCTAATCGGGCCTTCTGTATCCGTGCTGATATTTCATCAGTCACCAGGCCATCAGCACTTATGAGACTCGGAAGACAAGTGAAGCGGTCGACAAGCCCAACTACTTCACTCACTAACACTAGTTTAAGTCAGTGCACTTCTTTGGTAAACCTTCTAATGACAGACACTGCCATAGAACCTCACGATCGACGGAGTCAAACGCCGCCTTTAGATCGAGAAATACTACCGTTCTGGAGTGGCTGAACGTCTCTATTCCAGGACCTAACGTAGAGTGAATATCTGGTCTATACATCCACGTCCAGGTCGAAAACTAGCCTGGTTTTCTCTAGTCTGCTCTTAACGAGCTTTCGTTAGGCGTCAAAGTATTATTGAGGCCAATATTTTAGATACTATATTAATTAGACTTATTCCTCTGTGATTGTCACAAGAAGACTTGTGTCCTTTCTTATAGATTGGGACAATCAGTGGTTGAGACCAGTCAGATGGAATTACGCTCAGCTCCCAGATTCTACCTAATATCTCAGTCGACCTAGCGGCTAAAACTGGACCACCATCCTTAAACATCTCAGGGGTAAGCCTATCAGGCCCTGCTGCTCTACCTCGCTTTAGATTTCCTATAGCTTTCTCAACTTCATGTAGATTGGGTGGACTTAAATCGATTTGCCATTCAGGTTGACTTGGGATCGTGGGCAACCGAAGTGTGGCTGAAGACCAGTTGAACCGGTCTCTAAAGTGTTCTGCCCATCGATCTAGTCTCCTGGGTTGAGAATGAATGATAAAGTCATCCTTTTCCGAGATAACCTCGCTAACAGATGGATTCCTAATACCGATTTCCTTGATAAGTCTGAATAGCTGTCTACTGTTGCCTAACGCCGCTTCCTTTTTAGTCAATCTTGCTTTCGCTACCCACCACTGTTCGCGATTATTGCGTAGGCTTCTCATCAGCCTTCGCCTAAGCTGACTTCGCTCTTCGTCATATTCATAACTAGGTGGGATGAGTCTTCGAGCATCCATCAGTTCGGTAGATGCTACTGAAATGCACCGCTTCTCCATAACTTTATGGTTTACCTTACTAGCAGATATCACTGCCGTTTCTACTGCTTTTTGGATGTCATTCCAAGCTGCCTGCTGATGGGAATCACTTACATGGTCGCCTAACTGTCTTTCTAGTTGTTCCTAGAATATATCATAGCTCTGCTATCATTAAGTAGAACCCTAAAAGTTTTGTTGCGGTGTCTTCTATTTAGATAATTCTGAGTGTAAATGGTTATCCTGTACTACGCATACACTGGGATTTCTAAATCTTTGCTTCTTATCATAATCAAGGTTTTCTCTCTAGATTTGCTGAAAGTTATTTTCTGAAATAATTTAGGTCATTAAATTCATCAAAATACACTGGATCTGATGCTACTTTAAAGACTTGATTGAAAGAATGTTCTAACATTTTCATGCAATATTTTAAATGCTGGTGGAGTTTCGTTCTCTGGGATGGATGTTTAGGTGGTGGAGCTTTCTTTTGAACAACATCATCAGCACAAACTTCATTTTCAATGAATTATTTACAAGAAATGTGGTGTCACCTATATGGAAAATTTAAACTGTTCCAAAAAGCTCAGAAAGACTTAAATTGATGATACGATTTTAAGTAAATTTTCGTAGCATGATAATCAGGTAAATACCATTTATTTTTTACCTACAGAACCAGTGACACTTGCTCAAACTTTTTCTAAAGAGTGGAAAACATGACTCATGTAGACAACTACATATGATTTTAACTATAGCATGACTAAATCAATTCAAAGCCAACTGTTCCCTATCGTAATGCAAAGTGCTAATCAGAAATGTCATTCAGGTACCCCCAAAATCTAGTTTATTCATAAAACATTTACAGGAAAGCAAGTAGTCAGTATTGATATATTAATGCAAACAACTAGACTAATATGTTATAGTTTCGGAAATTAATTATGTAGTTATCAAAGCTTGGTAAATGAAAACAAACACGTAAAATCTAAAATTTAAGTAAACAATGAAAAAACATTCCCTACACGTATCTGAAGAATAAAAAAACAATGTAAATTATCTATAAATACCGATCGAAACTAATTACATTTATATAGTCTTTACAGGAAATATTCTGCTTGGTAACGAGCGAGCTGAAAAACTTTTGAAGTATTCCGAAGCATATTTCATTACCTCGTCTGGTTTTTTAAGTAATAATGATTTGATAAAATCAGAAATCTTATCATATATCTCTGGATGATCACGTAGATATAATAGGTATTGAGCTTTGATTTCGTCCTATCAAAAACAAAAACAAAAGAAATTTACCTAATGATCTTGAAGGGAAAGAACCATTTTTACACTCTTCACATTGAAACTTGGTAAAATTAAGAGGAAAGATATAAATTATGAAGATTTAGAAAAGCTTTCACTTTTAATTTCACATTCTTCAGTCACAGGTAATGCCAATTACAAAAAGATCACATCACAAACACTTATAAATTGTGCACAGTTAACCTAAATGTCACTATTCCCAAATGCAATGAGAGACTTTACCTACGAAACACTTCACTAAACGTCTTGTAAGTAAGCTTGAATTACTTTAAGGCCAAAGCTCATCAAATTTGATATTCGTTTCAACAAACTGACCACACTAACGTTTTGTTTCAGCAAAAATACATTATATCTTGTTTCTTCTTGATAAGTTAGCTTCACTGATTTTCCAACTTTTTGCTGTCAGTTTGATTTCCTTCAATTCGAATATGTACATTTATAGCATGCTTGTGATAAGTAAGTAGTTTTCACGACAAACTTAACAAAAGTATGCAGAAATTCAAAGTTCAGATTAGCGACAGATCTTACCTTTCGGTCTAAAAAACGCGAATAAAGTTCCAGATCATCTTCCCAATTTAGGGCAACCTTTTGAATAACTGGTCTAGGTAAATACTTTTCTAGATTGAAATAAGTTTAAGGAAACAGCTAGAAAACGAACCTTTTTCGAACCGTTCAGGTATTGTGTCAACCTTTATTGTGATTGGAGAACCAACTTGTACCTTTAGTATCATATGGCTAAAACAATATTTTGAAAAAATTCCATCAATTTAAAGAATAACAATTAACGAAAGGTTACCATTCATAACTGAATCATTTTTAAAACGTGTGGAGACTATTAATTAGGTAATATTTATAACACTAAATAGATATGAAAATTACGGTATAAAACCTATAGTTATAGAGTGTAATATATCACCGAAAATCAAGTCGAATAAAAGTATACAAGCATAAATATGAGACTTTGTATTCTTAGATAACCACTAGAGATGTGAATAGCTGTAATTCTTTAAAATTTTTTAACTATGACTAAAACTTAAGTAATTCACAAATTCTCCTTACCACTTCAAATTATGGTATTTATATCATCTATCTTTGCTGAATCTGTTGCTTTAGGATTGGTTTGCATTGGCACCTGAACTAGTGATATGGAGTGAAGTAGTGGAGCGTGTTGGCAGATTCACTTATCTTGGGAGTCTCATCAGTACTGATGGCCTGGTGAGTGATGAAATATCAGCACGGATACAGAAGGCTCGATTGGCTTTCGCCGACTTGCGGTAATAATGGCGTAGGCGAGATATCCGTTCGCTAACCGTTGGCAAATTACATTAACTAAAAAGCTTAGCTACATGGCCCGCGAAATATTCAAAGACAACCACTTGATAACGAATACGTAAAAAGTTTCATAATAAAGTTCAAATGCGCTTACCCATCCTCCATAAAATAAGTTTGCCATAACAGAGGCATAGCTGTTTGGGAATGCACAGTTTTCTGGATACATCTGACTGATATTTCACTGTCTCCGACAAATATATTGCTCTCCCCAAGATTAGTCTATTCATTATTGTGAAATGATCAAAAAACTAACATAGGACACTGTAGCCAAGTTATAGTCTGTATCTAAACCAATAACCTCGATAGGAACAGTGAAAGGATAATTGACAAGCATTCTTTGGAGTATCAAATCCGAACCCTCAGTAATGAGTCCGAACAAACTTGATTTAGCTAACTCCTTCTTCATTGAGGATTTAATCTCTCCATTCACTGATTCCGTACGACTAATTTCATACACATTTTCAACTAGTTGGATAGAAAACTTTTTCTCCACAACATTTCCGGCCATCTGAAACATGAATTTGATAACTCTATCGACAAACCACCATGGTTTCCAATTTTGTTTGAAAAACTGTGTCAAGAGGGAACTTTATAAACGCTTCGAGTGCTGTAGTGCAATGTATCTCACCTAACATGCTTCTGCTTGACGCTTTCACGAGAAATCCTTTCATTCCTAGCTCTTCTTCTCTAACTTGACACTGACTTGAGTCTAAACTTAGTGTATTTTCATTACCTCATATGACCCTATTACTTTGTTATTATCTGAATAACAAACGAGAATATCGTCAAACACAACAGTTTCTAATTTTTCCGTGTCTTTTTTAATAAAAAAGCATTTTGTTCAACAGCTACCTAAAGTTTGCAGAAACTGCTCAGCTGCCACATTTATACAGGGTCCAGGCTCCATCGTCCATAAACTGCTTCAAATAAAACTACCAAACACTGGTGACCGGAATTACTAAATCAGTGTGAACAAACAACGTATCAATATCAAATATATTTCTTACCAGCTAGGATAATCCGATCTTTGTTCTTTAGATGAGATGCACACAGCTGTTTCTCCCTTATTTTTGTGAACAATCAAAATGTTCGGAATTCTGTTATGAGTCACTGCTTTATTATCCAATATCTTTTTCACGAGCTAGTGTAAACCAATTGATTTCTTCGCGCTGAAAGTATATTTTTATTCTAAGATTTTCATTCCCTTCCGATTTTATTGAAACCTGCAATGTAAAAAAATTGTAATTCATACAGCCGATTAGGGAAAATCATCTTCTTGATGATCCCATAGTGCAAACAACCTGAGATACACTTTCTGTAAAACCTATTTGTATCATCTTTTTCTGATTTCCCTCCCAGTAATACAGTGAATACTATGATTTTCCACTTGATTCAAGTAATCTGTGAATAAATCGTAGCGTGGATAAGAACAGTCCCTTATGAATAGAAGAATGAAAGTATAGAGTATTCATTTAAATTTTGTGGGACAATATCTGGAGGTGAAATAATGAGTTGTTGTTGTAATGTTTTGGACGCAGTTAATACTGAGGATGTTTCACAACTCAAGAGTTCTTCGGGATAGAAATTTAGATTGCTTTCAAAGCAGTCGGTTGATATGACGGGAATGTCGTTTGAAGATTACAATATTTATAAAATAGGAGTTAGGCAGCTAATTCATCGTATGTTCTAATTATTATGTTGGTCTTGGTGCGACTTTCCCTGATCATAGTATAGAAGGTCTAGCACGAGCCAATATGGCGAAACGTAGCAAAGAACTTGTGATTAGGTTCAAAATACATACATAACTAATTATTTTTCGCAACCCTAAGGTAAACCACCGAATTTTTTGGACGCTACGAGATGAAAATATTCGACCTGAGTGGGCTTGTCCCAAGACTTACATCTCCATTAATCAAATACTCTCTCAGGGCATGCCACGCAGTTAAGTTCTTCCTCAAACATTGCTTTTAGATTTACTCAGATGTAGTCGGTTGACTAACACTTATATTAACATCTCAGTTGTACTAAGTTTCCGGTCAGTCAGGAAATATGGGTGAGTAAATGAACACAGATCGAGAACAGATCTATTCAAAATTCAAGATAATCTTTCTTCAGGCATTAACAAAACACCAGTAAGATTATTCACACGTTTATGTTTCTTTCCACCAGAAGTTCAACGGAATAAGAATAGTGTGAATTGTCTACAACTTAGATGCAGACCAGTCCATCAAGTTGATTTTTCGGAAAAAATCTGGTGAACTAATTGTTTTTAAGAGTATCCTCATTACTGGAACAAGAGATAGAGAATCAAAGTAACGAAAGGAAACTATTATATATTCTCGTCTCAGAAATATTTTCATCAGCCACTAGGTTATTATAATATCCTCTGATGAAGTCAATTTTTATAAATACTTTCATACCCTTCAGGCTGTACTGTTCGACGGTTCGATGTTCTAAAACGTGAACTCCGTCGTTTTATTTATTATTTAATCAAACTGTCTGATGCGAGAACTCTAGCTTTTGTTGGACGAAATATTGTCGCAGAACATATTGGTTTTTTGATAGCCATATATACATTTTGTGCTGCACTGGTCTTGATTGAGCTGACCAGGCTCATCTTTTCCAAGCAGAAGCAATCGTATTTCCTCCCCGATCGATACACTTAAATTTAGTTGCTATATCATTGACATTTCTGAACTGTTCAGTCATTTATAATCTTTTAATTTGGTTGTATAAATTAGTTCAACAAAGTTTCGATCGTCGTTAGAAGAAACATTGTCATATCAACCACTGAAATCTTCTCCTGATATGTTCCTGAGTCTAAGCCAGGTTTACTGTCTGAAATAGGATTACATATATCAAGTCCTCATAAAACTGACTTAATAAATTTATACCGTATTGTTTTTAAAGATCCTACTTTTTCCTCAGTGTGTGCTGAGGCCTAATGCTAGAGATGTTGCTGCCACATTAGACGTCTTCACCTTCATTTGTTTCTGTATGAGGCGCAGAAGAGCTAGATCATCTACAAAGTCATAATCGTCTAGCTGCATCCTGGCTGTCTAATTTATCCCATTCTTCTCTCGAGATTTTTAGGTTCACGTGATCTGGAGAAACGAGAAGAGTTAAAGTAGCTGTATCTGACATCTGTCCTCACTTGAAACGAATCTGGGAGCTGACTTCCATACAACACTAGAAGTGAAGTTCATCGTGAGAAATACTTAAGGCGGTGACTATCTTCTCAGGTACTGCATAAGATCGAAGAATGTTCTGTAAGGTTCTCCTGTTCTCGATTACAAATGCCTCCTCGTAGTAGGGGAAGTTCAGAGTGATGAGCTCCATTTCATTGATTGTCCCACAATGATCTTGACTCTCTCGACTGTCAATCTCGAAGTTGGGTGTCTAGTGAATCTCTGATTCGCTTCAACAACACTGTTGAAGACCTTCACCAATTTTGAGAGTAGAATGATTATTTTGTAGTTCTCAGACTTGCAGAGATCTCCTTTCTTTGTTATTTTGATGAGTCAGCTTTTTTACAGTCTCTCGTGACTTGTTCTTCGTTATGAATTTCTCTGAACACTGTCTGAAGCACTTTTTCAGTTACTGCTATGACAACTTTAAATGCTTCAACGTGTGTGTTTTCTCGGCCTGTCGCTTTGCTTTTCTTGATTTTTCAGATAGCCATGCTCGCTTCTTTGGCTGTTTTGGGTCTGTCTGTACTGCATCGATGACCGATGGATGAAGTGCGTAAATTCACAAGTTCTTCAACTTGCTCTACCTACCTGTTTTGCAGTTCATGGATGTTGGTAATTGCTTTGACTTACCTGTTGTTGACTGTTTGTTCTGGTTTACTAAATATTCCTGATAATATCGGCACTCTATCAAATACTTTTTTCATAATTCCTTCTGTTGTTTTTTATTTTATTGTCCTTATTTTCTTCATACTCATTCATTACTTGTGCATTAATTTGTTCTACTCTGCGTTATTACACGTCGTAATTCTTGTTTATTCTATAGATGATTGAAACCCTTTCCTATAGGGACATTCAAACCCGCAAATCGCCCTAAGATCCTCTCGAGTTGAGATTTGTGCGCAATTAGTTTTTACTCATCTGAAAACAGTGAGAGACATCATCCTAAATGCTGTGGTAGACTGTGTGCTGAAGTCACACCACACACACGAGAATAGAAAAACATGGGTTAGGCGCGGCACTGAACGCTTGCTACAGGTGAAGTGGAGAGACTGGCACAACTGAAAGGTCTCCTTGAAGTATTCTGATCGTAGGGCTTATTTGGCATTGAGTAACAGATGCAATAACAAAGTTCATAGAGACGATTGCGGATGAAGCTAGCTGCCAAAATACAGGCCAGCTCGAAGCTTCCGTTCAGGTTTATGTCCAGAAGAAAACCTGCGAATCATGGTTGGTGTTCTCACAAAAGACCGATAAGGGAGGACTTCACCAGCCTAGAGATGGCTGAGATCTTCAACGCAAACTTAACCCATCAGTTAATCTGATCATGCACATGTTCAGAATACTAGACAAATCCAGTGCCAGCTGACGGCTTAGGGAATATCCGTATCACTCCTGACCTAGTACTAAGGTAACTAAAATCCTTACGCCCAGTAAAGTCACCAGGTTGTGACAATATTAGCTCTATAGTCTTGAAACAATGTGCAGAAATCCTCTGTTCGCCGATCTGTAACCTGTTTAGGCATTCACTGGGGTCACACCAACTGCCAGCTGAATTAAAACAAGCTATTATCTCTCTCCAATCTTCTAAGAGGCGATAGAAAGGACCAAGCCAGCTACAGACCAGTCGCACTATTACAAATACTATCAAAGGTTATGGAAAGGCTGGTGGACGAACAAATGAGGGAGTACATGGATAAGAATAAAATACTCCATGAAGCTCAACACGGGTTTTGGAAAAGCAGGTCGTGTGCATCTAATCTTCTCACTGCATGGAACAGTCGGACATCCTGTTTGGACCGTAAAATACTGGTTCAAGTAATATTTCTCGACTTTGCAAAAGCCTTTGACACAGCACCCCACACACGCCTAATCGAAAAGGTTGTGGAAACAGGCTTCACCGACCCACTCCTATTTTGGCTCAGAAACTAACTTGAGAATAGATGGTTTCGTACCAAGGTAAATAGAGTGCACGCGAGCTGGCGAGTATCCACAA